TATTATGTTGAAGGTATTGATAGGGCGTATTTGCGATTTGAGTTGTTACAAGTTTAATTTCTTCTTAAAAAAGCCCTCAAAGACATAACGCCGTAAGAATGTGATCATGCTTGTATGTTCACAATCACGATATTGATACAAATATGGATAGGAGGAACACAATACTATTCTCAAAGGGTCAAATAACCCATATAAACAAGTGAGGAAGAATGAGGTTGTCCAGTGTGTAGCGCTCAGTGTTGTAGACGACGGAGAGCGACTCCTTTGCAGAAATGGGGGTGGTGTGGAAGGAAGTGAAAAACTGCTTCGTGACCAGGGAGGTTTCGGGCTTAACTTATAGAGGGTTGACATTCAGGATACGCGGACGAGAATGTTTTCGCGGTGGTCGTTGAACAGATGGGCTGTCCTCTACATGGAGATTGGTAGTCCCTGTAACTCTGCTTATGAAACTGGCGATCTCCGAAACAGTGTATTGCTCGATGTCATGTTAGATGTAGGGGGACTGACCATTCCCTTGAGCTGCTCTTTGAGAAGCTTTTTGCTTCGCCCAGACGTCAGGGTATATGATGATATGGCACACATCGTCGATTGAAACATGACGCTTGTCTGACATCTGCCTCGACTGAGAAGCCCGTCCCTTTTCAGGGCGGTGGCTGGATGTTTCCATCCACCAAGGTCGCGACTGGGCTATAGTTTTGGTTGAGGACGACAACTCGTTGGTGAAGCTGCCCTTTGACCTCAGGGTGTGTAAACATGCTGACCAGCTGTTGAACAACTTCTCTTAACTTCTCTTGAGCCAACGCCCTAGCCTGCAAGTAGCACACTGCCATTGCGATTGCGATGGCCTGTGGAGGCTGCTTCCCTCCACACACGAAGCCCGTGTGATCCAACTCTGGATAATGGATGTCCTTAGTGCAGGCTTCGGCAAGTTCAGTTTTCAAGAGAAGGGAGTGGAGCACTGGAAGCCGACATGCTTTCATTGAGGTAACTAAGTCAGCAGCAGCTGACAGGTGATGTATAAGATCATCCAGCTCGGTGGCGACGTGAATCTGCTTGGTGGTCATGTTGGTCTGATGCACGATGCTCTGGAACAGCGTCCGTCCGTAGTTTGTTAGTCTGGGTTGTCCCTTCGTAGCCTGCATCAATTGTTTTTGAAGGTCTTGTAGCCTGCCGACAATGTTGATGTGAGATAGAGGTTAATGAGGCCGGTTTCAATCAAGAAGCGATTGCAAAGCACTGCGGAGAACCGCGACTTGGTGCTCAGCCTTGGCTCAGATCGTTTATGTGCACATTGGCCACTTAATGCCCCCCCCCCCCCACAACAACAACAACAACAGCACCAACACCAACACCAACACATTGCCAGACCCATTATGCTCTGCGCAAAACACGGAACAGCTCCGCTTCCAGCCGTGACTTGTCCTGCTGCAAGTGAACCTGATGAGCCTTTGCTTCACGGGCATCTGCTTCTGCCTTTGCTTCAGATGAGCAACTGCAAAAATTCTTATATAACAGCTAATTATAAATTCTGGGGTATCGCTTTTGGGGGGGGCCCTATCGCTTTACAGGGTTTTGGCGCACAGCAGTTTGTATACCTATCGCTTTACAGCGTTTTGCCAATTTGTGGTAAAAGTGTAGTACTGGAATCGCCGGCTTCCGGATCCAGGAAGAAAACCCGGGCTACTAGGGTGATGGACGTGTGCCTTCAAAACCAGGGTGGGAGTATCGTTCGGGTATCGTTCGGGTATCGCTTTGGGTATCGCTCTAGCAAGTGATAATTTCGCAACAAATGCATTTTCACTATGACAGGGTGTAAAACGCAATGAACGTTGTGAAAACATTGGCGCTCGCCATATAAACGACATTTCTACACGTTCTGGCTCTTGGAAAGGGACCCTGCTAAGCCGTTCATTTGGGGTATCGCTTTTGGGGGGGCCCTATCGCTTTTCCAGGTTTTTGCTTAATTCTGGGAATATTGTCTCGCCCAATATATGGCTCCTACACGATAATAAATGCGGTCGCTCAGATGCTTCTGCCTTTGCTTCACGGGCTTCTGCACGTGCTTCACGCGCTTGAGCGAGGACGTCGACCAACTTGATGATGGCTTGATCGCTAGCATTTGCACCCAGGATTTGTCTGGCCTCGTCACTAGGGGTCATCGGTGCCGTACGAGCCACTCCGAACGATGGCGGCTTCAGGCTGAAGGCCAGCCAGGTGCACACAAGGATCATGGCTCGCATGTTGGACAGGCACTACTTCCGAAAATGACAAAGTCCGCTGCCTGTCACAATCATGCTTCATCACAACTGTTCAAGCGTTTCCTATTCAAGGGACCATGGAGGTCTGCAAACGGCCACGACTGGGGGGTTTGCTCTAGCGTCTGCTGCCGGATTGCTTCAAGAAACTGCGAACGACACACATTACCCATCTTTAGAAATCCCTTGAGGCCTCCAATCCATATATACCCCATTCCCAACAAGCTGAAAAAAAAACTGCACCTGCCGTTGTCTTTCCCCCCGCGATTCAGTCCTTGTCGCTCTTGGTGAGATTCTTGTCATTGTCTTCGTCGGCTTTCCATGCTCAGGGCTGAGAAACGAACCTACAATCCTGCCCCCAACCCTTAACCCTAAACCCTGAACCAAATTCTATAAGGAACCCCTTGCCTATTTTAGGCTATGGCACCTAGGTAAATAGGAGTATTGGGATCTAGAGTGCGAATAGGATTTTTTCATATATTGTATTACTAGGGTGGGGGGTGGGTGGTGCCAATAGCCTAAATAGGCAAGGGGGTCCCTAACTCTTTTCGCCGAAGAGAAGTCGGTGCCGGGTGCACGAAAGACCCTCAGAGCTGAGGCTCTCAGGCTTTAAGAACTGGTGGTTTAAGGCTTTGTCAAGCCTTTGAACCATCCATACGATTTGCTTTTGACGTCCCGTTGCTGTACTTCGAGCCTTTGTAACTCGATGCCGCTGACGGGTTGAGCGGCATGCCTGCGCCCGGCCACTTTGTTGGCAGCGAAGGCTCCCCCCGCACGATCCCTTCTGAGACAGGGAAGGAGCATGTCACGGACGCCTTTGCTTTGTTCAGCTGCGGTTGGCTCGTTTGCTTCAAGACGTCAGTCGCCGAGGGTGACCTCGACAGTCTCTAAAGCTCTGTCGAGCTTGGGCATTTCCATCCGGACGGCCAGGAGATGCCGTCGTGGACCGTCTGTATCCTGGGCTTTTCGAAGATGAAGGAATAGACAACTTTAGACGGCTTTCATCACCTTCGCCGGGACCGGGTTTTGGCACTTCGACAATGCAAGGTTCTGCAAGAAGGGATTGAATTGAACTGGAAGCTGGACAGTTCTCGAGGAAGCCCTTGAAACTCCGAATCACATCCATTTCGCCGTATGATGCCCAAAGTCAATGTAGGGGAAATATCGAAGCTAATTCATACAAGCATTGACTACTGGGCGCCTGGATTACCATGGAATGTATATAGTTGCGGGGTCTATACCCGAAGTTTTACTCTATGAAATGAGAGTTTGGGCACAGCCGCGTGGGCGCACAGTCTTCATCGCCGGCACCATGGGGCAAGTCGTGCTCCTCCTCCTCGTACATCGTCCTGGCAGTCTCAGTGGTTTCCTTAACCTGCCTTAACTTCGTTAAAATGGCAGGTGCCCTCGAGCATCTGCAGCTCAAGAAACCTTCTGACAATGCATCCAAGAAGTCGTCACAGCCCATGCCGCAGGACCCGAATGAAGCAAGACAACTCCCCCAACTTTATGGGCCTGAAAACACGACCTCTCGCACCCTCGCTCCTCAGCAAGCAGTGCAATGCCTGCTGACAGCTTTGGGCATTGCCGGCGTTCGTGGTGCCACGGCTCACTCGTCCATTTTGCACACGGACCATCAGTGTGGATCCTTTGCCGGTCCAGATCTGCGGTACCTGCAATAAACCACGCTGCTTGGGAGCCAGGACAAGTACCATGCTCCTCACCTATTTCTCAGTCTTGTGTCTTGAACCCCTCAATATGAGCAAACATAGAAAGACTCATCTGCAAAGCTAATGCTAGATAATTAGGCTCGGGACGGTTGGAAGTCCTCGCGCTGCAAATCTCGTTCGGAACCCTGAAGACTCGGTACGGGGTTCAACGTTGCTGCCCCTGTCTCTGCCGAGGGCACGCTACGTTGTAGCCATTCACGCAGGAGGTCGTTCGAGGGCTCCCAGCTCTGAGAGACATAAACCTCACAAAGCTCTAAGGCATCGCTTGAGGGTGCACACTAGGACAAACAAGACCCACCCAATGTACCCTGACTAGATCTCTTATGGTCCCTACAGCGGAGTTTTGGCATAATCGACTGCAGGTGTAATTGGCGAGTATAGAGAAAGAATCTTTGGCTGTGGTTGCAGTGTTTCGGAGTCTGAATGTCTTGAGTTCAAGCCTGTGCGGCCCAAATTCACGGCCGGAGAGTGCCAAGTGGAAAAGGCCAGCAGCGCAAATCGCTGATGACTCGGAGGCTAAGTCTCCGTAGAAGCTAAAGCATCGCATACATCTCCCAACCGACAACCTCAAGACTCCAAACGGCCAAATTAAGGAACATACTTACATAAATCAAACGAGGAATCCCCCTGAGCACTGAAGGCGTTTCAGAACGACGAATTGGCTTCAAGATGAGCGAAGCAACTGCGATTGCCGGAGCCTCAGCACGCCGATATGCGTTGAGGGCACGTGCCACCTTCATCTGGTGGGTGCCTTTGCATCGCTCATAGGGCTTGGCTTAGGGCTTGTCGTCGTCGTTGCGGTACCTTAATCATAGCAAGATAACATGGGGGCCTATAGGGACCGGTGGGAGATCTACAGCAACGGGCTGAGTTCCAAACCTCACCGTTCATTGGGCTTGCATTAGGGTGAGCTTCTTCGACAGGTGAGCCCTGGCCCCAAACTCAATGTTGATCCTCAGCGCCCCGAAACCAGCCCCACCTGAACCTTGCCCAAGATGTGACTTGCAGCCCGAACCTAACACGGAAGTGCTCTAAGAGCTTTTACCACTGATTGCAGAGCAACATCGTGTTATGACACTGACATACTGATTGTGCCCGTGGACAGACGTGTCTGACACGAGCTCGGCTCGGCTCTCTCAAGGCTGTGCGTGGTAATTATTAGCATCCTCCAACACCGGCCAGCACAAACACAGAGCTTCTGACGCCCAGATGCGGTACATAGACCAGGGACGATATACCTGCAAGCTGCGGACTGGACAGTCGGATTGCGATGAACCGATGTGGAGATGGCCGCAGGAACGCAAGTCCACCGGCTCCAAAGTGAGGGCGGGGAGCTGTCAGCACGAGGCTAGTGGTGGACTCTGGCGCAAGGAACCTCGGCTTGGCAATGTCAGTCCCATAACTTGCGTCACTTTTCAACGGATGCCTAGTCTAACTGGTAATCATGAATTACAAGAATTTACAAGAACAGGTCTTCGCCCCCGCCCCGACATAAACATCTCTTTCCATCTAGCATGGAGTACTTCAATCGACCTATCAGAATTCGTCGGCCCCACATCTCAGAGCGGCATCGACAGAAACTTGTCGATCTCTTTGTCCGTCGAAATCCTGCGTAGCTTCGGCCCGGTTCTGGTGTTAACTAGGGGTTTAGAGTTTTTGCTTTGTTCCATCAGCTCACAATCCACCAACAGAGAGCCGTCATGGTGCAGGCTTCAGTAGCACAACACTACCCAACATGCACTCTCGGCTTCTGATATCAATCACTGAGACTCATGGCTTTCCGCTTCAGCTCTCTACGACCCTTGCGATCCGTTTCGAGCCTGGGCTTTTGGGAGCGTTATTGAATTGTCCGGCCTTGCATGGCTTCAATGTCTATTGGTAGGAACATCGCTGCGACGCCCTGAAGAAGCACGGACTACTTCACGGTAAGGACCGTGTGCATGAAATCACAAATCACGAGGCCCTGGCACCGAACAAGCACCGTACAGTCCAACAGTCCCAACATCCTTCAACACTGCCACCCCCGAAGCACCAAATCCCTAAACGTCCTACACGTCCTAAAGCTTCCGGGTGAGGCCGTTGCAGGACATCCTTGACCCCTTCCCAGCCAAAACCCTGAAACACCTTACAAGACACTATAAAGTCACCGCAAACCTTCAATTAGCAAGAACGGTGTAACCCGGTCATGCCAAACGCACATGTTGAAACCCTGCCCTCTGCCCCCGGCTCGGCTCCGCTCAGAGTCGCTGGACTCGCTGCTGCCCAAGATGTACAGCGAGTCGGAGTCGGTGGCAACTGGGAGCATGACTCTTAATGCCTTTATTTTTTTAGACCGTGTGCTTGGGGGTTTTTATGCATGCTGCATGCTTACATGATTGTGCACAAGTTTCCCGGGGTTGCTATGATTTTTAGCATGGCTTTGCAACAGTTCCTAAACACAGAAGCACACAATTCTGAGCAGATTGATCAAACCGAATTCGACGGAGGGTGTTCAAAAAGTCGGCGCTTTACAGTCTCATAGGGCTTCATGCAGGGCCCAAGATTGCCCGCATGCATGTGGAAGCGTGAATCGTGCAAATACTTCATGATCGCAGCATGTCGCAACGAGCCCTCACAACACCTGTCCCTTCTCCCAAAAACGATCCGAAGTGTGGCATATGACAAATTTCTTGATGCATTCTTGTACACCAAACCACAATGAGGCTAATGACATGGACAAGGCGGCCCCAAAGTGGCAAGCACAGCGCCAAGCAGGATGCAAGCCGCAGCCCATGGCTGGGCATTCGATGAGCTTTCACAATGTTTGCGAGGGCCAAGCCGTTCAGGCTACCGGACGTCTTGTGGAGCTCCTGGCCTAGGCCTGCCCTGAAGTTGAAGACCTGGTCTTAAACCGCATAGATCCAGTACGAAGGGTGGGGCCGACAAGGGTTCAGTCGAGACTCGTTGGGAAGTTCTCCAGGCTTGCATGAGGACGGCTTTCCGAGCACCGACTTTGGTTGGGGCTTTGCACCCCACCGCCGGATCACCAAGTCCAACGGCCCTGCATGAAGGGAACATCCTGAATAGACTAATGGATACAGTCGGATACAGCTTACGGCCTACAGCTACTCCATGCTCAAAGTCTCTAAAATCAAGCGTTGTGCATGCTCTGCCTCCGGCTGGGCCGTGATTCCAAGCTGTTTCCTGGGCATGGACGAAGGAGCCAAAAGTGAAGATAACCCACGATGCACCAGGACATACCACTTT